TGAAGCCTATGAAAGGATGAGCTTCCAGCACCGCCGTTTGTTGTTGTTTTTGTTTTCTTTTTTATTTAGTGTTTTCGCATTCTATTTCTTTGTTTTTTTTTGTTTTTCGTTTTTCTTCTCACGTCTCTGATTTCTTTCCTGCTGCTTAGTCGGCCTTTAATTTGGAACCCCCATCAACAACTCACAAACCTCTTGAGTTCGCTTCTTTTTTTTTTACGCTTCATTTTTTTTTTGTTTCCTTTTGCCGCTGCCGCGCTTAAACCTTCTTGACAACCTGCACCACGTCCTCATCCTCCAGCAGGTGATCCTTCCCGACGCGCTGCGGCTGATGCTTCACGCTCGACCCCCACACCCAGGCGTGCTTGAAGCTCTTCATCATCTGCCTATGCAGACGCAGGCAGAACCGCTCTACTGTCGGCGGCGGCAGCTTCTTCAAAATCACCGGCTCGTCGTAGTCGGGCATCTGACCCCGTGGCTTAGTGTAGAGGCGGATAAAGTGGAGGTGGTCCCAGACACACTCCAGCAGCCCGTCAAGGTTCCACCCGTGATGGGCGCTGATGGGGCAGTTGTGTGGGATGCGGGCGACAATGTCAAGTTCCTCTATGCTGATCTGGTCAATCTTGTTCAACACATAGATGCATGGAAGGTAGACGCGGTTGCCCTCAATAACGTCAATCAAGTCGTCCGCGGTGTAGTCTCCGCGAAGCATTACATCCGCGTTACTCATGCGATACTCCGTCAGAATGGCCTTGATGGTTTCATGATCCAACTGCGTTAAGGGGCACGTGGATGCGATGCTAATTCCGCCCCGATCCTTCTTGCGAATATCGATATTGGGCGGCTGCTTGTTCAAGCGAATACCAAACCCATCCAACTCACGTTCAATGATGAGTTTGTGCTGTAGTGGTTTGGCAATGTCAAGTACAATCAGAATGAGAGAGCAGGTGCGCGCCACCGCGATCACCTGCCGACCCCTACCTTTTCCATCCCTCGCGCCCTCAATAATACCAGGCAGGTCGAGCATCTGCAACTTCGCCCCACGGTACTTTACAACCCCCGGTACGCAGGTGAGCGTTGTAAACTCGTACGCCGCCACTTCAGAGTGCGTCGACGTGAGTTTCGTCAAAAGGGTTGACTTCCCCACGGAGGGAAAGCCAATGAATCCAACCCTGGCATCGCCTGTTTTCTGCACATCAAACCCCTCACCTTTGCCACCGCCTTTCTTTGACTCCGAGGCAATGAGATCCCGCTTCAGCTGCGCCAGACGAGCCTTAAGCTGGCACAAGTGGGCCATCGTCGCCTTGTTCTTTTGCGTGCGGGCGATCTCCGCCTCGATGTCATTAATCTTCTGCAGATTAGACATGAGAGGGATGTGAGTGTCTGCGTGTCTGCGTGTGTGTGTGTGTGTGGTGTGTGGTGCGGTGCAGGTGCAGATGTTAATATTTAGTCTCCTCCTCTCCGGCGACGCTCACTCGCACACACGCGCGTGTGAGTGCAACTACGCGTGGGCACGTGAAGAAAAGTGGCTTGTCCTCAAGCGCAACAGAGGCGCACCTTCCCGCACCACGCCATCGTCAGCATCACCAAACCGACAATCACATGCAGAGAGCGGGAGGAGGGACAGAGAAGAGGCGGAGGAGGAGGTCAGCAGGCGGCAGTCTTGCTCCCGCACTACCGTGGCCGCTTGGCCAAGCGCAGAGGCACGAGGCATAAGTGTGGGCGAC